TTTTACCAAAGCTAGAAAACCCTTCGACTCTTTCTAAAGAACGCTTTTTAGTTTTTTTGGTCAAATAGAAAATCCCTTTTTGTTTTTAAATACGCCTTTTTCGGTTTAGGAAAAATTTTCTAGTGAATGTTTGGTTATTCATTCCTTTTGGATTTTGTAAAGTAGATACTGAACCATTTTAGGTTTAGAACTGTACTTCCTAAACCCTTTCGGGTTTTCAAAATACGGTGTTTTTTAGAGAGTAGTCTACACTGCAGCAGTCCAAATTGGAGTAGTCTACATGTGAACAGTTCTATGTTATTAATGTGACGAAAGTTCGAAATATATTTCACTTTTTGTTAAAAGTTTGATTTACTGAAGTTTGATGCTCAACGCTATAAGGAATTTTTAAGGTTATTTCGTTAGTAAAGAGTGAGGTATGTGAGAGAAATCTTGACAAAATTTCAACAACAAACATTTATTATAGTGTTCTTATCTACCGCAACGTAAGTGATATCAAAAAAAGAAAGTAAAAATTGTTTGCTTGTTTCTACATACTGTCTTTATTTTAAAATCTACCAACACCAGTTAGCAGTCGAATTTCTTTTTCCATTTCGACCTGAATCAACCATTTTGTGATCAAAATAACGTAAAGATGCATCACTCAACAATACCAGAAGAACATACATTTAAACGTCAAAGTGATTCAGTTTATGTTCACGGTGGAAAATCACGGTCAGAAACTAATCTTGAAGTAACTACGAAAATTAGAGGACAAATAAAACAACTCGAAAAGAAAGAACAATGTTTATTTGATGAAGAAAAACAGTTAAAACGATACATAACGAACGCACATTCGACATGTGCCAATCAGCGTAAACTATTGGAACAGTTTGAGATTCAATTGAATGATGAGAAACGAGTGAGCAATGAAATGGAAAAAGAATTAGATTCGCTCAAAAGACAACTAAATTATTTAAAACGGAACGACAATGACATGAATATAAACGAACGAAACTATCTACAGTTATCACTGGAAGCACTTGATCAACAGATTCAAATAACTCGTCAAAAGTTGTCAGTAAATGATCGAAAACACACATTGCCTGGTATTAAATCGAATGATACAAAACAAGAAATAGATTCAACTGAAAGTAAAATTCATGATGTCACTACTAAAATTCATGAGCTGTTGATAAAAAATAATCGTTTAATGGATCAACAAAAGAAAATATCGGTTAAAAGTCATCTAGATTTATTAACTGCAATGATTGAACAAATCAATATGATATTACAAACAACGCTGGATGGGCAATTATTAAGTACTCGTCATCTACAACAATTTAAGAATATGTTACTGTCAAATCAAGAGCAGCTAGCAGCACTTCGAAATGAAGTAGACGACGATAATGATCAAACAACAAGAAATTTTCAAAAACTCCAACGTCTTCAAGAGCAACTTGGCTTGTTGCGTGTAAAAATGCATGACTTGGAACATCACAAACGTATGGAGCGAGAAAAAAACGATAATGCACAAGAAGTAAGTACACAAATTGGTGCATTACAACAACATCTTGAACGACTAAATGATCAAAGACAGCGTGTGATCAAAGAAATAGAATATATCGAACACAAAATTCAAGTTAAAAAAAACGAAATAACAACATTTAATAATCATATGCAACAATTAATTGATCGAATGAAACTATTGAGAACTGATCTTGAGCACTCGGAAAATGAAGCAAAACAAGCGGAAACAAATTTAAAAGAGGTTAGAGAGCAATTGCAACAAATGAATCAACTATTACATGATAGTGAACGAAAATTGCGTGAACTCAATGAAACAATGGTGAAATCAACCGAGAAAAATTTTCAACGATTTTCACCTACTAATAGTAGAAACTTTGAGACATATACTACTCAGAGACGTGATGATGACTTGGTTAGAAGTTTTGAAATAAAGAATCAGCAACGAAACACTGATTTTAGCAGAAATTTTGATCATCCAATGAATCAACAACGAAGCACTGATTTTAGCAGAAATTTCGTTCATCCGATGAAGGAACGACGAGATTCGAGCTTTGATAAGAGTCGTACAAGAATTTATACATCGGTTAATTAGGATCAAAGTAATAAGTCCGTGTTTAATTAAAAAATCCAATTTTTGTTAACCAATTAATACTTGTAATGATTTGAAATAAACTAGAGACAACATGTATGACTATATATCTAATATTGCTCCAAAAATATAGACTAATTAGATAAAGGAGCTTTTATTAGCCTATGGTTTATTTTCTGAGATATAGATGTTAAGGGTGCGGAAGAGTGATTGAAGTTAAACTAACTGACAAGGGCTTGCTCAAACAAGAGATTAGAAGAACATTACAATCTAATGGTGAAGTTCATAGTTTTGTAGCGAGTTATACTTTTAAAATTTATTTAAAGTATTACTTTTCATATCTCTCTATCCCTTTACATCTTCCAGTGTAAATGTATATCTCAATTCGAAACTATATCCTGATTGGACTATAGAATATATCCCGTTCCGGATATACAACTCAGTCGGGATATATTTTGGAATAGAGTAAACGGAGGCAATTCGAAACAATTTTTTTCCTCTTTGAACTTCCAGTTAGTGAGAATCTGTTAATTCTATTATATTTTTGTGATTTGTTTAACACATAAGTAGAGAAAAGTGTTCTCTATAAGTCTATCTAAAAATTTTCAAAAACTGCCTCCCCGATGCGAACTGCTCAGTGATTTGCTGAATGCTGTAACAAATATTTCCAATTATCCACTAGGGGCAGTCAAAAAATGACATTATAAGT